GTGGTTAATTTTGGAGTACTCCTTGGTCCTTCGGGAGTACTCTTTACATACATGCATGGAGTAGTCGCGATTTTTGCAAGGTATGTGCATGAGAAATTTTTGACAGTAAATTGGCGGCGTGCGTGTATATTAGGGTAGCCTGTTATGCAGTTCACGCCCTACATAAAAATACAACTCTGGTATTATTTTCACATTGGTGAATATACATTGTGTATTCGTGTCACCATGGTGAATATATATTTGTGTTTATTTTTCTTCTGGTTACGCGAAACAGGCAGTAATTTTTATTGAATTTCTTAAGTGTTTGTACATTTTATGTTTTTGTTTTATAATTCAAGGAATTTTATATGTCAGCATGAACAAGATTGTCCAAGGAGCAACTGAATCATGTTGGAAGATTTTTAAAACATATTGGCGGTATGCTGTTTTCCTGCTGGATGCCCGCAATCTCATTTGCTAAATGTGTACGAAATTTGTTTTGAGTGCTTTTAAAAGTAAATTTGATTAACTACTTTTTTGTAATTATGTATTCCAGATATGCAACGCACACTGCCACTCGAAGGATTTTCATTATTGAGCAATTATGTAGCAAAAACGCAGGGGAACCATACAAGATTTCGGATTGCTCTTTGGGTGCGATGATTGTTGAGAGGCAATGGCTACCGAAATTTTCGCAACACAAAATAACACGAACCACCGCTATCAAGGTACATACGTGTATCGAATATAATTTGGCGAAGACTCAAACAATGGCATCTTCACCCAACATGACATGTCATCCACGTCGCTGTGAGCTAAAGAAATTATGTGATTCACGAGCCGGGTTCCAACTTTCGCTATCGCTAAAATGCTAAAATTGCCTTGCCTAAATTTGAGTATTTTATCCAGTCGTAAGCCGCGCTGTGCAGCAACAACAGCTGTCAAAATTGGTTTCCAGAGCAATGGAGATAAATAATGGAAATATAAATAAGTAATATTTGCGAAGAAGNAACATTTGTGGAACTGTTTACGCTCACAAAAGAGCTTTGTAACAATCAGCCTTATTCTTAAAATTGAAAATTGAGGCTGAACGCCTTTGAGGAGATCCATATCAATATCATAGAACAGCAGAGCGACTTCCCAAAATTTTCCGAATTTTTTTCGGGATATTTTGCTCGTAATGAATAAAGCTTTGTATATACATACGTTTATTTTTTGTATAAAATTAGCTGCAAGAAAATCCATATTCCTTTCAGGAAGTTACTAACTAAAATATAAT